AGAGATTCATGTATAGAAGCATTTAATTCAACACATTTAGCTAACAGATCAAATAGGAAGAAGAAATTAATGAAAAATATTCCTATGTCTTTTGCGCCCAGGACTGTGCCTGATAGAAAAGTGGACAAGAGATTGTTGGGCCATTTGACTTTGCAAGTGGAAATAAGGTGAAGTTTGGCGAGCGACAAAGGTAATGACGTCTTGTGAGCTACGTGGTAACCCTGTACATTCTTGTGGATCTTGGAATTATCCCAGTCTTAGCTTTGTCTTAGAGGTTGAATGACTCCCACACTTAGCAAGTCTTCCACCAATGAAGTTAACAAAGAGGGTGGATAAAAGGTGGTGTAGGAGGATGATGATGAAGAATGAAACCTATTTTCCCAGAAAAGGGTTGGGGAAGCCTTCCATGACCTGGAGTCATATCACTATATCAATATATCTGCATCAGTGACTTTGAAAAGATGACAAAGTCTGGCTTCCCTTAGTGACTTAAAGAGACTAAGATTCCTAGCAACAAGATTTCTGAAATCACCCAGGAATAGTGCTGACCATAAGGTCAATGTGAAGTGCAGGACTGTGAAGTTGCGGGTATTTATTTACCAAACGCCTCAAGTGTCTACAGTATTGTCTCAGGGCTGTCACATACAGACTTGAGTCTATGTGGATGGGGCTTCCTAGAGTTGTGCAGTGCACAGGCTGTGCCACTGTGTATGACTGTCTCAATTGTATAAAAATATATAAAAGCTGGAAGAAGGAGAAACAAAAATAAATCCCACATCTAGTCAGTTGATCTAATTTTATTGTTGCTGTTGTTGTTGTTAAGTGCCGTCGAGTCGTTTCCGACTCATAGCGACCCCATGCACAGCAGAACCAAACACTGCCCTATCCCGCGCCAGCCCCACAATCCCTGCTATACTTGAGCCCATCTAATTTTATTAGTGAGCTGAAAAAACACCCACTGCCATCAAGTCAATTCTGACTCATAGCAACCCCCATAGGGTTTCCAAGGCTGTAAATCTTTACAGAAGTAGATTGCCTCATCTTCCTCCCAGAGAGCAGCTGGTGGATTTGAATCCATGACCTTCTGGTTAGCAGCCAAGTGCCTTACCCACTATGCCACTAAGCTAAGCCAGGCAGTAAGTTCACCTTATTTCTAGAAGAAAACTATTCTGCTTAGACTGAGACACTTAACAGCTAAACAGGACAAACAATGGATTCAAGCTGAGGTTTTCAAACAGATTTGCCTCAGTTCACACCTTCCATGCACTGCTAGCCCCAAGCAGCCATCCTTCCAAGCACAAATGGTTAAGTGCCATCCTAATGACAGTAGGATGCCTTACACTCGGATGCCATTAAGTGCTATCGCCCAGGGCACTAGTAGCTGTTTGTGTGGTTGCTGCAGGAAAATGTTCACAGGTTCATATAACTGTACCAGGAGCAACGTTACTATAAGGTGAAAACCAGGACGATGTTTGAGGCTAGAAAGTCAGGACGGTGAGGGAAGAGCACTTTGGGGAGAGAATTGACATCTCTGGAAAATTCTAGAAAAAGATGATTAGAAGAGTGGGGGGTTGAGGAAGACCCTGAAAATGTATTCTAAAAAACACTTTTCATCTTCAAAAGCACAAAATAATATTAAAATTTCAATGTCCTAAATCATTACCCTCCTACATATGTTTTCAATATAAATAAAAGAATGTTAAAATTAAGAAGCATATTTCTTTTTAGCTATCTTTTTAGAGAAAGGTAGAGAGAAGGGAAAAGTATAAACAATATGATATACCTCACTATGCCTCCCCACCCACTCACATCTATGCCAAGACTTCTGTTAAACTACAGGCAACACTTCCCATCACATTGGAAAAGAAGACTGAGGGCTGGGGTGCTATAAGCTCAGTAGACATGGCTTCACTTGTTAATGAGTTTCTGATGTATCTGGACAAAAAAATCCCTAATAGTATTACTAAACACAGAATGCTGACTCTTCCATATGGAAGGGTTTGTTTTCCCTCATATGCATATGCAACTGCTTCCCTCCATTGCCTCATCAAATAGATTGATATTTTACAAATAAATTGGAAACACTTAAAGCTTTACTCTGCCCAAGACTTCCAAAGCATTCTTGGTGGTTATGCTCTTTAAAAGAGCTGATCAATCTAAAGAATACTACTGATCTCCAACAATTCAGAGTTTCTTCTCTTGTGGTTGTTAGGTGCTGTTTAGCCAGTTCGGACTCATAGTGACCTTATGTCCAACAGAAGAAAATACTGCCCAGTCCTGCGCCATCCTCACAACCATTGCTGTGTTTGAGCCCATTCAGCCACCGTATCAATCTACCTCATTGAGGGTCTCTCTCTCTTTTTTGCTGACCCTCTACTTTACCAACCACTACGGTTTTCTTCAGAGAATGATCCCTCCCGATAACATGACCAAAATGCCAGAGATGAAGTCACTATCCTCACTTTTAAGGAGCATTCTGGCTGTCCTTCTTCTAAGACAGATTTGTTTGTTTTCTAGCAGTCCGTGTTATATTCAATATTCTTCGCCAACACCATAATTCAAATGCATCAATTCTTCTGAGGTCTTCCTTATTCATTGCCCAACTTTCACAGACATACGATGAGATTGAAAATACCATGGCTTGGGGTCAAGGCACACTTTTGTCCTCGAAACATTTTGGCTTTTTAACACTTTCAAAGAGGTCTTTGGCAGCTGATTTGCCTAGTGTACTACGTCGTTTGATTTCCTGATTGCTGTTCCCATGGGCACTGATTGTACCACTCAGTAAATTGACATTTTTAAACAGTAAAATAGAAACATTTTAAAACTCCTTGAATCCATCACATCTAACAAATTCCTGGCTTTTGTGGACTTAAAAAAAAAAAATGCTGACCAACCTGGAAAATCATATTTGCTTCAAACAAGTCAGAGTTTTTCCTCCTGTTACCTATGTTCAAAATTGGCTTCCCTTTCACCTACAATTGGGCATTGAGCGCCAATAGCGAGGCAGGTGAGAGCAAGGTGTGGCGTGAATAACTAAATTCTCCCATGTATGTTTGGAATTTAAAAGTTCGAAAGGTGTGGACTGCCAGGTAAGGCCACTCTACCCCTAACACCATGTGGTTCAGTCCTTTTCGTTATCAGTCTCTCCTCCCCCACAAGCCCTTTTAGTCATTTCCCCCCAGCTGCCTCGCCATAAAATTTGAATATCAAACATATACTGTATGTGTATCTGTTTATGGACTTTATGTACATCTATGCTTTAGACATAAAACAAGTAAAACAAAATTCCCCATGGCAAGTGCCAATTTCCCCCCATTAGTGGCGCTATCACTCCCGTTGAGAATGCATATCTTAACAACAGCTACAAACACCCAAGTCCATATTTGCTTGTCTGCTCTCAGCCAGACATCCTAAATCAATGACTTAGCACCACTTGAGTCAAAATGTATCTGAATCATTTACACAATAAAAAGCTTTATAATGAACTTAATACAATCTATGAAAGTCATAACATGGGGCAAAATACGGCTTCAGCAGTAACATTCCAGCTCATGTCTTTCTTTTGTGTTACTCTCAATTCATTGGGCTCTACCTGACGTTTGCTAAGAGAATCAAACAATGCTGGATTTGATTACTGTTCAATTTTACCTGTGTTTCAAAAATCAAAAGAAAACATCCGAGAAACGTTTTTCTAGATGATGGCAATGAGTAATTTGCGAAACAGAAAACGTCTGTAGCAAAGCACTATAATTTGGGGTTTTCAGAAGAAATAAACTAAATAAATAAACCTTTCCTGCTCACAAAAGACCTAGACATAAGGGCCACAAAGTGCTTCATTAGAAAACTACTGTGCGATTTGCATATAGGACAAAAACCCCAAACACATACAGTAGAGGGGGATGTATCTGCACCTGAGAGGATCCAGAATGTTTATGGTCTAATACCCGTTCAAAGAAACAAACCCACGGCATTTTCAAACACTCGGGGAAAGAATCCTAGCGTAAGCATGAGAAACAGAATAGTTGCTAACAAACGCAAGATCTATCCTGTCCACTACTAGAAGTGTTCTGCATTTTTAGGTTATTTCAAAAATAGTGGGGGCAAAGGAACACAGTCCTCCACATAAGCCAATAAAGAAATAAATCCTCATCCCATTGGAAATTGTGCTCACCTACCTTAACCGGTCCACGTTCATAACTGGAGCCCTGCACCAGCTGCAGGTAAGACATTATGAAAATATTCACCACTTCCCACTGTCTGTACATCTTGAATATTTTAATATCCACTGGTTAGCAAGCAGTTGACATCAGGCCGATCGAGAAATCACTTCAAAAGGCATCTCTTCTCCAGAAAGAAAGTTTGAAACCCAGAGACTTCACATGGAAAAACAAATGGTCAGTTGTGATCAAAATCCAACGAAATGACTTTACTTAGACAAGGTATATTTTTGCATAATCTTGTCAGGGGAGGAGAGGGCGAGAGAGAGAGAGAAAAAAAAATGTGAAAGATTCTCATGCTCTCAAAAAATACTCAAGAAGAAGATAGATGTTCTACCTGAATTTGTGAAGCACGCGCAATCCATTTCATGTCCAAACAACTTAAAACGTCTCGCCACCCTGTGCCCCACCTTCCCGTTCCTTTGCAAGGAGGCAGAGTGGCCACTGAGGTTCGCGGAACGATAGAAAACCCCAAGCCAACTTGGGATTCAAACTTTTTCACAACCTGCATGGAAGCTTGCAGAAGCATGTGTCTTAAATCTGACACAGGCTTTGGCAGAAAACACAGGCAAGTCTTGGCTGTGATCCTATTGCATTCCTACCAATAGCGGGGCAGTCTGAAAACTGACTCAACCGCTTGGGCCTTCTGTTATTTTAAAGCAGATAACCTGTAACTTGAAACCCCAGCACATGGTCTTGACTGCTGTGTAGCCATCACATTACTCAGGAACGGATGGCAGACACAGTCACTGCCAGGGAAACCCAGAGAGCAATCAGGTAAGCTTAAAAAGCCCACACATGCACAACAATAACCAACTCCTCCATACACGCTTGCAAAAACATGCACACTGTTCACAGTCATTTCTTTTTTAACAGAAACTATGTTTCAGGTCAAAATGAAGAACACTAATTTTTTTTTTAAAGAAGCAACAATTAGATTTATTGGTATGTGCCAGGAAATATCCCAGGTGCCTTGCTATAAAAACCATGTTATCACTTTAGTGTGGAATTCTTTAGAAATATTAGCTACGTCAGCTTTGGAACTTGAATGTACTGAAGAGATGGACGCCACACAAAGCATCCAGATCAGCTCTTGTGGTCTTAGCTAGTTTCCAATCTTTGATTTCCAGGTTTTGGCCCTTTCAAATCCATTTTTTGCATTTCTGAAATCAAGAATGGCCTGAGAAATCTCTTCATTGGTGTTCATGACAAATGGACCTAGGGCAAGGGCAGAAAGAGACATTCAGAAAGTTTCAGATGATAACATTTTTCTCTACTACTAGAAATGGTACAGTAGCTCTGAAGCTCTTAATTTGAAGCAAAAATCCAAGCATATCTGAACAATGAGAGGCTGCTTTTGCACTGTTTAACCCCTGAGGACTGTAGGATAAGTTTCTTGACTAGGACCAGGGACCATTCTAAATGATAAAGACCAACCTTTGGATAAACAAATGCAGTTGCATCTCACTCATCCATTGCAGGCTTCTCAGAGGCAACGGCAAGCTCTTTGTTCAAAATATGCTTAGGTTTGGTTCTATCACATCCGTTTCTGTAGCTGTTTTCTAATAGCATTACCTGATGTCAAGAATTGAACTGTTTTGATTGATATAAAGAATTGTCAAATCTCAGCATAGTCTTGGTGTCTAAGCAGCATATGAAGCTGTATAGTTATTATGAGGATTCTAAGTCTTTTTCATTTTTTAAATAGCACCACCTCATTGACAAGAAACAGGAGATTTACGAACATTTCAAGCTAGAAAGCATCAGTTTTTTCTCTGTTGTTCTAAGTTGCTGTTGAATTAGCCCCTGTAGTAAAGGTTGTATGTCAACTTGGCTGGGCCTGGTTGAGTGGCTGGGCAGCTGGAAGTAGTTATTCCTCAGAGTGAGATTGATAATTAACTCCATGGTGGAACCTACTGGAGCAGCTAAGTAGCTGCTTTAGGGATGTGGTCTGCTTCCAGTATAGAAGCAGCAGCTTTGAGGAAGGTCTCCAGCTTTTGGGCACACTTGAACCCCAGATGTAGCTGAGTCTTTATTCAGTAGCTTGCCATGCTCTGCCGATGTTGGGACTCTTAATGAACTTGAATCAATGGTCTGTTGTGTGGTTTGATAACATCAGGACTATGCCTTTTTACTTGTCGACCTTGGGTTTGTCAGCCTCAGCAGCCAGCAGCTGCCTGAGTGATGAAAGCCTCCGGTTTCAGTGGGCCAGGAGCCAGTGGCAGAGCTGACGCCCAAAATCAAGGGGCCTTTCCCCAGCCCCGAGAGGTGGCATTTTGAACTCAGACTTCTAGCCTCCCAAACTGTAAGAGAATAAACTCCTGTTTGTTAAAGCCATCTCATTTGTGGCATATTCCTGTCAGAGTAAGAGCTCTGGTAGCATAGTGCCTAAGGCACTTGACCGCTAATCAGAAGGCTGGCGGTTCAAATCCACCAGCCATTCCTCAGAGGGAAGGTTGGGCAATCTACTTCCGTAGTGATACTGCCTCAGAAACCCAAGGAGGGGTCTGACTCGATGGCACATAACAACAACAACCTGTCAGAGTGGCACTACGTAACCAAAACAGCCCCTGACTCACAACGACCCCATGCATGATGGAGCAGAATACCGACCAGTCCTGTGCCGTCTCCATGACTGGTTGCACATCAGACCCTTGTGATCCAGAAGGTTTCCCCTGGCTGATTTTCGGAACTAGATGGCCAGGCCTTTCTTCCCAGTCCATCTTCGTTTAGAAGCTCCGCTGAGACTTGTTCAGCATCAGAGCAACACGCAGTCCTCCACTGACACAGGTGTTGGCTGTGCGTGAGGTCCATTGGCCAGGAATCGAACCTGGGTCTCCTGTATGGAAGCTGATATTCTACCACTGCGCTGCTATTGCTCTCAAAAGATTCTCTGAGAGTCAGGAAATTTTTCCTGTAAAGGGCCAACCAAACCCAAACCTGCTGTGGAGTCGATTCCAACTCTTAGTGACCCTGTAAGACACAGTAGAACTACCCCATAGAGTTGCCAATGGTTTCTTTAGGGAAGCAGACATCTTTCTCCCGCCTGTAAATGGCCAGATAGTAAATACTTAAGATTATGTGGGCCATACAACGTCTGTTATAACTACTCAACTGTGCTGTTGAAGTGCAAAATCAGCCACAGACAACATGTAAATGAATGGAGGAGGCTACGTCCCAACAACACTTTCTTCCACCAACCTGGAGAAGTTCTTGATATTCCTTTCATGGAAGTCCCTCCTCTGAAGGGCTTTCCCTGCTCTAACGGTGTTACTTAGGAGGAATAATCCTTCAACTTTCTAAACCATTGTCAATGTAACACCATAGATTTGGCAATCATTTTAGTTTAAAATTCTAGAAGGAGAATACAGGATGATATGCCTTGATGATTTTGAGGAGTTTGGGGAGGTTGCAGAGAATAAGAGGGATGCTGGGAGGAAGGGGAAGTCTGTAGAAGGCATCTACATTCATCCATTCATTCCATCACACATCTATTAAGTATTTATTTGGGGAAAAAAAGTTGCCATCTAGTCTACTCTGGCTCATGGCGACACTGTGTGTGAAGGTTCAACTGTGATCCTAGGGTTTTCAAGGCTGTGCTCTTTCTTCTCAGATGCCTCTGAGTGGACTCAAACCTCCAATCTTTGTGTTAGCAGCCAAGCTCTTAACTGCTTGCATCGCCCAGGGAAGTATTAATTGTCAGACATTTAATTATTACTTGACAGCAAGGGTCCTAAAGATAAAAGACAAATGTTTGACAGAGCCCCTTCCCTCAAGGAACTCAAATCTATCACACAGACAGATATGAAAACAAATAATTACAAAACAGTGTGATCCTGGGAACAATCAAATTATGTAAAATCTATAGAGCCAGTATGGAAAGGGGAAGGGCAGGGGCTCAGGAAGGGACTCTCGGTGGCGGTGATGTTCAAATAGGCATAGCTGAAGGAAAGGGAGTTGTAGCAATGGCATGCTGGAGGCAAGAAGAATAGGAGCAACGTGCTGGAAGGAGGAATTGAAGGGGGAGAAAGAAGGGGGATCTGATCTGTAGGAAGAGGTCAGAACCCCCTGGGCTTTGAATGCCATCTATAAAAAGACATTTGGACCTAAGTTTGCAGGTGATCAGGAATCACTGAAGGATTAACTAGGGAACACCATGGTCTGATTGGTGCTTTTTAAAGCAGACTCCAGCATTAGGGTAGAGAAGGTGCTGAGCCTGGGAAGCTGGCCTGATGGAAATGTTAAGAGTAGCTAAATTACAGGATACAGGTTATTGTGAGATGGAGCTCGGCATTCAGTTCCAGACAGTTCCAGAGGGAGGTGCTAGAGACAGTAAAATTGCTTCTTGGAGGACGTATCTGGTACGTTGTTGGAAATAGGGATCTGGGGTTCAGGAGAGAATTTCATCTGGAGATGGAGAGTTGGATTATATATATCAAGAATGAGAGTCCTCATTTGCAGAATGAGCGATAAATCCAAGAGGTGCCCTGGAGAAGGGACCTTCGAAGGGACTTGCGGAGGACACACATCCTCTTGCCACCTAAATTCTCATCACTGTTAATAAAGATTATGCAGAAACCAGAATTGGCTTGTCTGCAGGGTTCTTCCAGAAGCAGGCACTAACTACTCCGGTGCTGGTCAATCGAGATAAAAGGATCAAGAACCATGAACTTTTGGAGTGGAAACTGGAAACACGCAAGATGGAAGTCAAATACTGCAGGGAGGTGGGCTATGATAGAATGTTCTCCCTTAAGTGGTTAATGCAGCACGAAAGAAGACTATGTTCAAATCAATCTGTGTTTTTGAAATTTATGATCAGCACGGTCTTTTTCTGATATCATTTTGTGTACCTGGAAATTCATGCCAAGAAAGGCAAAGTAATGGCATTTTAATGAATGTTTTACATTTAGTAATTAATGATGTGGATTGTTCTAGGTACTTCCAGATGCTCCTCATTTACTCAAACAACAATGTTATAAGGAAGCCAAGACTCAAAAGGACTGAAATGACTGCTGTGATCACTTACGCCAGGATTTTCTGTCTCCAAG